GCTATGAATATTCTTAAGCGAATCTTTGTAGACATAATGTCTTCATTCTTTTAGAGATAAATCTACCAGTTGGAATACTCTTAGCTAGGTCTGTTCGATTTTCTGATAACCTAGCCAGATTGTTTTCTAAGGTGGTATGTTTAGTACTATCACTACCAATGTATGAGTGTCACATCCTTGACAACATTTACCCTTGTTGGTCTTTTATTTTAAGCCATTGTGATGGGTTTGTAACTACATTGTTGTAGTGGGTTTTTTCTGCATTTCTCTAGTGATGGCTGTGAATCATTTGCTTATTTCTACATTCCTTTGATGAAGTGTCTAATCAAGTCTTTTGCCATTTTAAAACTGGATTATTTGCTTGTACTGAGCAGTAGGACTAGGGAATAGAGTACCCAGTGCTAGTTCCAAGGAGCCCACAGTTAAATGGAAAAGGGAGGCGAGTCAGACGATTCTGGTGTAGTGATTTCAGTGTTAAGTTGGTTACTAAATATTTGCTACCTACTATAGGATAGGTACTGGTGATGTAGACACTAGACAGGGTTCCTGCTCTTACATAGCTTGCTTTCTGGCTGTCCATGGAAGAAGACAGTACAGAGGCATTGAGATGGAGACTGGAATTGATACTGTGTGAATGTGAATCAGGGACAGCCAGGCAGGGTACATGGGTGGGTGGACAACCACTTACTTACAAAAGGATTAGGTGTTGCAGACCATGGTAAGAAGTTTGGGTTTTATTTTATTCTTATTTTTTTATTTTTTTATATTTAAAGTTAGGGGAGAGAAATGTGCTGTGAAGTCCATGTGGACATCAGAGGGGAGATCAGAGGACAGCTTTCAGGGATTGGTTCTCTCCACTACATGGGTCCAGGGTATGTCAGCAAACCCTTTTACCCACTGAGCCATCTTGCTAGTCCCAGAACTTTGGATTTTATATCGAATATACCCCAATTTTTGGGGGGGGGTCGTCTATTTGAGACAGGGTCTCCCTGTAGCCACAGCTGACCTGGATTCACTATGGAGAATAGGCTGGCCTAGAACTCACAGAGATCTGCCTGCCTCTGCCTCCCAATGTTGGGATTAAGGGTGTGCACCACCACACCTGGCTCTATCCCAAGTTTTCTTAAGCAAGGAAATGATATGATCTGGTTTCCATTTGGCTAAGAAACACAGAAATGGATATGTAGTTGCAGAAAGAATGAAAAAGAAGCTTCTGTAGTTATCCAGAGACAATGAAATCTTACAAAGGAAAGTTGGCAAGAGTTCATAATGCAAATAGTATCCTACCAGATCTTTCGCTGACAGAATATTTCCTATATAGGATTCTGATTCTTACATATTATCTATTATCATCTGCCTCTCTTACCTATGAATAAATGGCAGGAGCTAGGGAAGGTGGCAGGCTGAAAAGGGCCTTACAGTTTGAGAGACTGCAATGTTAACCACATCACAAAACTACTCAATTTTGTGGAAGTTTACCTTCAGGAGGAGTAGAACAAGGTGGCTTGCTAGAATTTGGTGCTGAACCTACAAGTCATTGGGCAGTTTTACAGGGCTTCTAGTTAGGCAAAGACTCTGGCCTTTGGTATCAAACAACTAGGTGAGGCAGCTCTGAGGAGGAGAAACTACGGAGGAGGCAAGAAATTTGAGGGTTTGAAGGTTTTTGAACTGGAATAAACGTTTTTGGCCCTGAATAGTCAAAGAGGACTTGTGTCAATTGGGGTGGGTGGATGGGGAAGCTAATGATGCCCTTCAGAAAAGAAAATATTGAAAACAATGCAGAACTGTACAGATTATAATCAGACATGGTGGTGCGTATCTGGAATCCCAGCATTAAGGGAGAGGTAGAGGATAAAGTTTAAGATCATATTCATCTGTAAAGTGAGTTTGAGGCTATCTGGGACTACATGAGACTCCGTCTCAAAATGAGAGAGGAAGAGAAAGAGATCAAAATAATAATTCACCTTCATTTTACTCCAGCGTACCTAAAATCACTTTTACTTTGTGCCTCTTCCATTTTACTGTGTGCATGTCTTCAGATTGTTTGCATATGCACTTGCACATGTAGTGGAAGTTTTAAAATAGGGTTGTACTCTTACTGGTTTTACAATTTAATGTTTTCAAGTATTACCAATATATGGTTCTGCCTTGTTTAGCTGCTGCTCAGCATTCCATTGTTTCAACCTATAGCTCATTCCTCACCTAGTTGATAGACCTCTCAGCTACTATGAATTTTTTGTTGTTGCTTTATTTTTTAGTAGTAGTGAAATGTGTAGCAAACATTGCCTCAGAAAACACACCACCTGTGGAATTCAGATTATGGAGTGGAGCAGCTGTGGTCTGTTTTACTTTGCTCTGTCCTCAGGAAACCTCCAAAAAGGGAGTTGCCAGGAAGGTTAAGAGTCTCCAGGCCACATTTTTGGGGCAACATTAGAAAATGGCCTACTAATTCAGTGTTTAATATTACTTACTGCTTCCATGTCTCAGGTGGTTTCTCAGGCAGATGGAACAAGAAGACTAGAGAGCACATAGTGCTTCTAGCAGAAGTAAGAACTCCACACTTGGGTCAAGCTAGGTAGGGTTTCCTGGAGCAGAACTTTCAGATGAATGGTTTGAAGAATAGTAGGATTTTCATAATTAGATGCATTTCAGCAGGGGCTGAAGTGCTGTTGATGACCTTATCAATGTGGGTAACTATTTCAGATGGGGGACCGGGACTGGAGATGTAGTTCAGTGATGGAATGGTTGCCTAGCATACACAAGGTCCCAGGTTCAGTCCTCAACACCATAAAAATAGAAGACTATCAAGGGCTAAGATGGGATCTTGTGGGCTTGGTGGGGGAAAGGGGTTGACTGAGGATCAGTATAGGGAAGACTGAGGCTGGAGACATCTCTGGGAATACTGCTGGGGAGCTTGGAATGCTGAGCAAACAGTGCAGGTGAACCAGAGTGGATCTTAAGGGGTCTTGTTACAGTCGCTGGAAGAGGAGAGACTACATTGTAATCAACGTGGTGATTCATGCGAGATATTTCTAGCAAAGGAAATGGGTGAATTGGAGAAGCTTGGTGTTAGCTTGAGCCAGTCAGTTTAAAAAAGGCTGCTGGACTGGGAGTAGAGGTTGGAGGTGACCTATTGGATATCATCTAGCATAATGTATGTGCTTGGGATAGAGCAATACACAAACAGATAAATCCTCCTTTGTACACAGAGTTTACATTCTTGTGGAAGAAATAGATTCTATAAGTAAAGTGTATATAATGAGTTTGATATTGTTGTAGAAGCTAAGACAAAACAGCAGTAATGGAATTTGATGTCAGTGGTGGTAGGGTTGAAATTTTGGAGTGACTAGGAGAAACTTTTCCTATGTAACAGAGCAGGTGGTTTTGAATAAAGACCTTGAAAGGGAACAAGTCACATGAATCATAAAAAGAACATCCAGCTTCTGCCAGGGCTTTGGAGTAGGAATCTAGTTGGCTTGAGTGTGCACGGGAACTGACTGGTCAGGCTAGAAAGATGTAGCTTGTTGAGATCATGTAGGTCATGGTGCAGCTTGGATAACTTCTAAGAACAGTGGTTCAGGATGTGACTTAAGGTTTTTTAAATTTTAATTGTGTGTGTCTGTGTATTTCTGTGTGTGTGTGTGTGTGTGTGTGTGTGTGTGTGTGTACATCTGTATCCCATTTTGGTCCCTGATAGTCTCCCATCGCTTTATTTTTATGGTGTTGAGGATTGAACCTATACTTTGTTCATGCTAGGCAACTGTTCCAGAGGTGTCCAATCCCCCCTGGAGCTTGAGTTATATACAGTTATGAGCCACTCAGCATATGTGCTGGGAATTGAACTCAGGTTCTCTGCAAGAGTAGAACATACTCTTAACCACCGAGCCATGTCTCAAGCGTTTTGTTTTTCTTAAATATTTTATGTGCATGAATGTATTGCCTGTATGTATTTAAGTGAACACATGTTGTACAATGCCCAAAGAAGTCAGATGAGGGCATCTGATCCCCTGGAACTGGAGTTACGTATGATTGTTAGCCATCATGTAGGTGTTGGGAATTGATCCCAGGTCCTCTGCAAGAGCAGCCAGTGCTCTTAACTGCTGTGCCGTATCTTCAGCCCTTTTTTGCTAGTTTTGGAAACAGGGTCTCATATGACCCATGCTGGCTTCATGAGCTCACTATGTAGTTGAGGCTGACCTTGGACTCTTGATCCTGCTGCTATTTCCTCCCAGTGCTAGGTTCATAAATGTGTGCCACCATGTTTATTTAGACAGGGCTTCACTATGTAGGCCTGGGTCACCTGTAACTCCATGTGTCATCTATATGTCCTTGTACACAAGGCAGTATTCCTACCCTCACCTCCTTGATGCTGCAGTTCCAGGCTGTGTAACCACAGCTGGCATGACTACTTGAATAGGAGGAGTTTGGTCACTGTATTCATAACCTGTTTGATGGAGATGGGAAGTGGTGAGGGCACAGGATAAGGGAGACTAATTGAAGAGACTCTTGTGAGTAGAGATTACTCAGCTTCCAGGATGTAGGGCCTCAGAGTTTGAGGGGCTTATCAGAAGCACCTTTGGGGAGCAGTTATCTGAATCATGGTTGCACTGGAGACAATGTTGGGATTGAAATATGCCTTAGCGTTTGACTTTGGGCCAGTAAGGAATCGAAGTGAGACTGATTATAGTGTAGTCACTGAAGAGATCAAAGCTAGAGTCTCAAGTCTGTTCAGCACTGTTGGGATTAAGGCCACCTTTATAGTGAGGATTGATTTGGAGCCAGAGTTGTAGATGGAGGCCAGTACCCTTTTTAGCATCTTCCTTTGATACCATTGGGGTTGAGAGCTGGTTATAAGAACCATCTCCTGCACTGTTGAGCCCACTCAGGGTTCAGGGATATGAGGCTACCTTGTGTGAAGCCTGCTGGCTTTTGCAAACTGAGATCTACAGTCCGTGAAAGGTGAAGGGGCCCTGATCCTTGACTCGGATGTTTTTCCCCAGATGGCCTGCTGTGTGACCTTGGTTCAGCTGTCCATTTCCTGTGAACATCTCACTGACAAGGACATCGGCTCCAAATCTGATCCACTCTGCGTCCTTTTGCAGGATGTGGGAGGGGGCATCTAGGCTGAGGTGAGGTGGACCCCTAGGAGGTTAAGGTTGTGGAAGGAGGGTAGGATTATGTTTTGGGGTGGAGGGTAGGGAACTGATGCTTGGTGGCCTCTGCTCACAGCTTTGCCGGACTGAGTGTGTTCGGAACTGTTCAAGCCCTGAGTTCTCCAGGACTCTGTAGATTGAGTACCATTTCGAGACAGTCCAGAAGCTATGTTTTAGAATCTATGACATAGACACCAGAGCTGGGGGATGATGACTTCCTAGGGGGAGCTGAGTGTTCCCTGGGTCAGGTATGTAGAGTCAGAGATTAGGAAGTGCCGTACCAGATAACCTCCCTAGAGCTTGGATGTGGGGGTCAAGTAAGACCTAACCCTGCCTGAGGTACTGAAGCCTGTTCTACCTCACTTTCCTCAGATTGTGTCCAGCCAAACACTCACTCTCCCCTTGATGTTGAAGCCTGGAAAACCTGCTGGGCAGGGAACTATCACGGTAAGGAACAAACCCATACAGCTGAGAAAGCAGCTTATGTCAATGAAGAATTCATGAAATGATACAGTTTTCCCTGCCTAGGTCTCAGCTCAGGAGCTGAAGGACAGTCGTATAGTAACCATGGAAGTGGAAGCTAGGAACCTAGATAAGAAGGTGTGTCTGGATGGAATCCCTGGAGATGGCGTGTAGGGGTAACACTGGCTTCCTCTTCCTGCATTTTCTAACTGGGGTCTCTGTGGTATTGGCAGGACTTACTTGGAAAATCAGATCCATTCCTGGAGTTTTTCCACCAACGTGATGGAAAGTGGCACTTGACATACAGGTCTAATGTGCGAGACCCCTAGGATTGGTTGGGTTGGGAGAGACAGCAGGGTTTGTGACTAGTAAACTTTGGAAACAGAAGAAAGACTGTTAGTGGATAAGAAAGGGTGGCAGCTGCTGATGGGCAGGCCAGAACTCACAGCCCTCCATCTCCAGGTGATCAAGAACAACCTGAACCCTACATGGGAGTGCTTCTCAGTTCCTCTCCTGCATTTCTGTGGTGGTGACCCCAGCATACCCATCCAGGTGAGGTGTTTACCACCTGAGTAGCCTGAGAGAGGAAAGTGATCCTGGGAAGGCACTTCCTTACCTGCCATGTGTCTTTTTTTTTTTTTTTTTTTTTTTTTTTTTTTGGGGTTTTTTGAGACAGAGTCTCCCTGTAAGCCCCAGCTGGCCTGGAACTCACTATGTAGACCAGGCTGGCTTTGAACTCACAGAGATCCACCTGCCTCTGCCTCCCAGTGCTGGAATTAAAGGCGTGAGCCACCACGCCCAGCAGTGTGTCTCCTTTATACACACATATCCCCCTTCCCTTCAGGTACACTGCTCAGACTATGACAGCAACGGGTCACATGATCTCATTGGTACCTTCCACACCACCCTGGCCCAGCTGCAAGCAGTCCCGGTGAGTCTTTGGACTGGTAGACTGCTGCCCAGTGCACAGCCAGGAGAGGGCAGCTTAGGACCCTGGCTGACGCTGGCTGTGGCAGTTTCCTACTGTAATTTTTCTCATCTCACTAGGCTGAGTTTGAATGTATCCACCCTGAGAAGCAGAAGAAAAAGAAAAGCTACAAGAACTCTGGAATTATCTGTGTCAAGACTTGTAGGGTAAGACAATAGTCCATGTGACCTAGGCTCCATGACTCCAACTCCTTGTTAACCCCAGGTCTGACTCTGGTTTCATCTTTCATCTGCAGGTAGAAACAGAGTATTCCTTCCTGGACTATGTGATGGGAGGCTGCCAAATCAACTTCACTGTAAGTGGTCTTCCCAGCAACAAGTGAGCAGGCCTTGAGCTCAAGGTGTCCTCTAGCTCTCTTCCTGGCCTCTTTCCAGGTGGGTGTGGACTTCAGTGGCTCCAATGGAGACCCATCTTCACCTGACTCCCTGCACTATCTGAGTCCTATGGGAGTCAACGAGTATCTGACAGCACTGTGGAGTGTGGGCAGCGTGGTTCAGGACTACGACTCGTGAGTCCCGGGTTCTCATGGCCTTCCCCATTCCTTACACAGACGCTTCAGCCTCAGGAATCACAGTCCCCCTCACTGCATCTTTTCCAATGCTCTGCCCTCTCACAGGGACAAGCTGTTTCCAGCATTTGGGTTTGGAGCCCAGGTGCCCCCAGATTGGCAGGTAAGCTCTCACTTCTTCCCTTTCTTACTTTCAGTTTCAGGATTCTAATTCTGAGGTCTGTGGTGAATTTATTTGCTGCTTGGCACCCAGCTTCAAGGACAGCTATGGGGGATCTATCCTTGAATGTATACATAGCAACTGCAAGACTAAATATATCATAATGCCTTTGTGGGTTTTTTTTTTTTTGTCCCAGGGATTGTTTTTTGTTGTTTTTGAGAAAAGGTCTCCCTTAGCCTCAGCTAGCCTGGAACTCACTAGTAAACCAGGCTGACCTCATCTTGAAGAGATCTGCCTGCCTTGGCTTCCTAAGTGCTGGAATTAAAGTGTGCTACTATTCCCAGCCCTGTTCTGGGAATTGAACCTAGGACCTTACATATGCTAGGCAGGTACTTAACACTGAGCTGCACACCAGCCCCTAGAGTATCCTTTTTCTTAGCACAAAAAGTTAGGAGGATAAAAAGAAGAAAAAACCCAACCAATAAATCCCAAAACAGAGTTGAAGGGAAGAACCTTTTCTTTAGGGAGGGTGGGAATGACTTTTTGACATGGATCTCAACAGGTTTAACTTCCTGAGCTGATATTACAAGTTTGTAGTCTACCTCTGGCGCACAAATTTTCATTTTTGCTCTCAGGTCTCACATGAATTTGCCTTGAACTTCAATCCCAATAATCCCTATTGTGCAGGTAAATTCCCCATCTTCCACTGTGAAACAAGTTCATACCTGAAGTGTGAGCTTGTGTTTGTAAAGACTGAGGAGGAAGATACCTGCCTCCTGAAGAGAAGAATGGAAATTAGAGCTAGCCCACTAGAGTCAAGTCTTCAATCTTTTACTTGTTACTGAAATGACTTGAGACAGGTTGTTGAACTCTGTGTGCTTTGGCTTAGAAATAAATAAAAAATCACCTGGGCCTAGTGGCAGAGCCCTATATTCCCAACTACTCCAGAGGCTGAGACAGGAGGATCAAAAGTTCAAATCCTAGCTTGGCGTGGTGGAGCACGCCACTGATCCCAGCACTCATGAGACAGAGGCAGACGAATCTCTGTGAGTTACAGGCCAGCCTCGTCTACATAGTGAGTTCCAGGCCAGCTGGGGCTACAGAACCCTGTCTCAAAAAGACCAAAAAAAAAAAAAAAAAAAAAGTTCAGATCCTGCCTGGGTAATTTAGTGAGACACTGTCTCAAAATAAAAACAAAGTGGTAGGGATGTAGTTAAGTGGTGGAATATCATTGTCTTTGGGGTGCCAGGGATTGAACCAAAGGCTTTATGCATGCCAAGCATGCACTCTCAATACCCCACCACATCCCCAGCCCAGTACATGTAAATGTTTTGTTAAAGATTCCCAGCTTTTATGTCAAGGCCTAAGCAGGATCCCCTGGGGATTGAACCCAGAGCCTTACATGTGCTAAGTGTGCATTCTGCCTCTGCAAGTAGCTTCCTAGTTCCTCCAGGTGGGCACCAAGCTGAAGTGAAAAATTGTCCCAATTTCATCTGACCATTTAAATTTTTTTCTTTTTAGACAGGTCTCATTCTAGCCTAGGCTGTCCTTCAACTCACTATTTAACACAAATTGGCCTGAAGTCACAGTGATTCTTCCTGCCTCAGCAACAAAAGTGCTTGGATTATAGGTGCCACCACCTGTGACCATGACTTGAACTTTAAAAAAAGTTTTTCGCAGGGCATGGTGGCACACACCTTTAATCCCAGCACTCGGGAGGCTGAGGCAGGTGGATCTCTGTGAGTTCAAGGCCAGCCTGGTCTACATAGTGAATTCCAGGAGAGCTGGGGCTACAAGGAGACCCTGTCTCAAAAAGATCAAAAAAAAAAAAAAAGAAAAAAAGAAAAAGGTTTTTTTTCACTTTGTAATTTGACATGAGATCATACCTAGAAGGCAGGCATGGTAACACATGGCTATCATCCCCGCACATAAAGAGACTGAGGCAGGCGAATTTGGAGCTTGAGGCTAGCCTAAACTTCATAGCCTAAGCATGTCTCAAAAACCAAAAATATCAGACTTACAGAAAAGTTGCACTAGTTGTAGTAATTCTAGGATCATTGGCGCTACAGGGTAGGATGTGTGTGTGTCATTTAAATTTTTATCATTTTTTATTTATTTATTTATTTTTGGTCTTTTTGAGACAGGGTCTCCCTGTAGCCCCAGCTGTCCTGGAACTCACTATGTAGACCAGGCTGGCCTTGAACTCACAGAGATCCACCTGCCTCTGCCTCCCGAGTGCTGGATTAAAGGTGTGTGCCACCATGTCCAGCTCTTATTTTTCTTTTTGAGACAGGGTCTCTCTGTAGCCACAGCTGGCCCAGAACTCACTATGTAGACCAGGCTGGCCTTGAAATCAGAGAGATTTTCCTGCTTCTGCCTCCCAAGTGCTGGGATTAAAGGCATGAACCACTGTGCTCAGCTTCATTTAAAATTTTTTTAAAATTACATTTGTATATTGTATATGTGTGTCTTCTTGAACCATAGGGCATATGTAGAGGTCAGAGGACAACTTTCAGGAGTCAGTTATTTTCTTTCACCATGTGGGTCCTGGGGATTGAACTGAGGTTGTCAAGCCTGGCAGCAACTTCCTTTACCTGCTGCACCATCTTGCCAGCCTTGATTTTTCTTTTTTCAATTCTTTTTCCAGAAGTATTTGATAATGTCTCGGCGACTAGCTGGACATCCCCATCAACTTTACCCACTGTCATCCACAGCCCTTTACCCTAAAGACTGTAAGTGTGTTTCCAAAAGTCCAGGTCATTTCTTTCTTTCTTTTTTTTAAAAAAAAAAAAAAAACTGGGACTGGTCGGGTTTGGTGGCGCATGCCTTTAATCCCAGCACTTGGGAGGCAGAGGCAGGTGGATCTCTGTGAGTTCAAGGCCAGCATGGTCTACGTAGTGAGTTCCAGGACAGCTGGGGCTACTGAGAGACCCTGTCTCAAAAAGACCAAAAAAATTATGTTTTTATGGGGGATTGAATCTAGGGCCTCGTGCATGCCTGCTAAGTACACTACCACAGAACTATATCCCCAGCCCCAACTCTCATTTATTTTTATTAATCTTTGGTCAACATAGGAAGAGTCAGGTTTAATTGTAATTTCTTTTTTACCCATTTTTTTGAGTCAGGATCTTATGTAGCCCAGGCTGGCCTTAAACTACTGTATCTCCTGTCATTCCTACTGAATGTTGAGATTACAGGCCCATGCTATTTTTTTTGGGGGGGGAGTCATTTTTGAGACAGGGTTTCCCTGTAGCCACAACTGGCCTGGATTCACTGCAGAAATCAGGCTGGCCTCAAACTCATAGAGACCCACCTGCCTCTGCCTCCCTAGTGCTGGGATTAAAGGTGTGCACCACCATGCCCAACATTTTAAATTATTTTTATTTCATGTGTATGAGAGTATTACCTGCATGTATGTAAGTGGACCCAGGTCATACAATGTCCAAGGACGTCAGAAGAGGGAATCTGAGCCCCTGGAACTGGAGTTACCAGTAGTTAGCAGCCATGTCGGTGCTGGGAACTGAACCCAGGTTCTCCTCCTGCCTCGCCCTCACAAGTAGCTGGGATTACAAGCTTGTATACCAGGTCTAGTTCAGAGACACTCTCTTACATGCCTAAAATGCAGTTCTCAAGTTAGGAAATCAGCATCATAATATAGTCCAAACTACAGCATTTATTCAGATCTTTCCACTTGTCCTCTTTCAGCCAAAGGATATATCACACAATGCATTCAATTGCTTTTTTTTTTTTTTTTTTTTTGTTTTTTTGAAGAAGTGGTCTTCTTGTGCCCCCGTCTGTCCGGAACCTTATTTTGTAGCCCGGTCTGGTCTTAAACCAAAGGAACCCCCCCTGCCTCTGCCTCCTGAGTGCTGGGATTAAAGGTGTGCACCACCATGCCCGGCCCTCAATTGCATCTTTTTAGCTGTGAGAATTCATGCCTTCCATGCCATTAACAGGTTTGAAAAGTACAGGCAGCTAATTTCTAGAATGCCTCTTAGTTTGGGTTTATCATCCATCATAATTTGACTTAGTCTTTACATTTTTGGCAGGACTACCCTGAAGTGATACCGTGTTCTCAGCGTGTTAGCTGTCCTCTTGTCACGTAACTTTTTTATTTGGTTTTTTGAGACAGGGTCTTACTACGTAGGCCCTGGCTGGCTTGGAACTTGTTATGTAGACCAGGCTGGCCTCAATCTCACAGAGGTGCTGTGTGTGTGGTATCACAAATGACCTTCCTGTTGACTTTCTTAGCTAAGTTAGGTTTTTCAGTAATAGCTATGGTTTTATTTTGGGTTTGAGACAGGGACTCATGAAGCCCAGGCTGACCTCAATTTTCTGTGTGTGTGAATGTACATGCCATGGCAGCCATGTGGGTTTGGGGTATTCAACCTCAGTTCGCCAAGATTGTACAGCAGGTATCTTTACCTCCACTTAGCCATCTTGCTAGCCCATTATTTTTTAATATAGAGTCTGTGTATCTCAAGGCTGGCTTCATGCAGCAATCCTCTTGCCTCAGCTTCTCAAGTACTCAAATTACAGGCCAAGATGTGCTGATTTCAGGTCTAGCTTAATCCTGAAGGGTACACAATTTTAACATGGTTTTTGCTTTTCTTTGCAGGCATCCAGGGCATTGTGGATGCCTACCGACAAGCATTGCCCCAAGTTCACCTCTATGGACCCACCAACTTTGCACCAATCATCAACCACGTGACCAGGTTTGCAGCCCAGGCTGCACAGCAGAGGACTGCTTCGTTGAGAGCTGTGGGTAGCACTGGCAGTGGGTGATGAGGGCTATGTAAAGAGGGCTTATCAGTGTGGGAATCTATACCTGGGCTGTTTGGAGGGATCTGGAAAAGAGGATCTGCCTTAGTGTATGAATGAACTTGTCTCCAGCAATACTTTGTGCTGTTGCTCTTGACTGATGGAGCTGCGACAGATGTGGAGGCCACACGTGAGGCTGTGGTGCAAGCCTCAAAGCTGCCCATGTCCGTGATAATTGTAGGTGTGGGTGGTGCTGACTTTGAAGCCATGGAACAGCTGGATGCTGATGGGCCTCTTCGTACTCGCCATGGAGAGGCAGCTGCCCGGGACATAGTACAGTTTGTGCCTTACCGCCGATTTCAGAATGTGAGTGGGGGAGGGTTGCTGGGAAATCAGATCTGGGCATTTACCCTGATGGGAGTGGGATTGAGGCCTAGTAGGTACAGTCCTTTCATCAGCGTCTGGGCAGAATTGGGTCTGGAGTGAGATGCAGACCTTGAGGAACTAACCAACTGACCTTGCCTTTCTTCTCCTGGCAGGCCCCACGGGAGGCATTGGCACAGACTGTGCTTGCAGAAGTGCCCACTCAGCTGGTATCCTACTTCAGGGCTCAAGGTTGGGCCCCATTAAAGACACCTCCATTCCCAGGCAAGGGTCCTGTGCAGGTCCTTCAGGCCTAGGTTCCCTTGGAATGTAGGGTATAACCAGTCCTCAGGAAGCTCCTGTGGGCCTGGACAGGGACCAAGCCTGCACATTCCTCATTGCTAGCACTTTTACTTTGTACTTGCTTCTTGCAGCAGCTCTTGATCTACCTGCGTAGCTCTAGTAGACTAGAAGATCACCTCTGGGCCACCTCTGTGTAAATTGGGGGGATGGGCTAATATAACTTGCTTACTTTGACATTCTGAGTCTCTGATGACCTTGGGGGTTGTTGAGGAGGATCCCTTTGTCTAATAGCCCCATCCGAATAAATTGGGTATTCCTGGCCAGACATGTATTCACTTCATAAATAGACTCCCTTGCTTTTTAAAGCAAGCATCTCTTCCCTCAGAAGAGCTTGCAGAAGGTGAGAGGACAAATTTTGTGTAATGAACAGTGCTCCATCCTCTCGAAAGTCTGACAGCTTTTGATTTTTTTATTTTTACTTTTTTTTTTTTTGAAACAGAGTTTCCCTGTAGCCTCAGCTGGCCTGGAGCTTGCTTTGTAGATCTCACAACAGAGATCCACCTGCCCCTGCCTCCCCAAGTGCTGGAATTAAAGGCATGTGCCACTATGTCCAGCTTAATTTTTATTATTAGAGATTTACAATGTATATTCAGTGAAGAAGAACTTTAACCATGTTGTCCAGCCAGGCTTCAAATTCTTTGGACTCAAGTGATCTTCACTGATGGAGTAGGAACTGCTCATGCACACCAGGCCCAGTTTAGATTTGTTTTGCATAGAGGGAGGGAGGGAGGGGAGGTTTTAAATGTAGTGAAATACATTTCACTCAAACTCTTGTCCTCCTGAAACATATTTGGTATATATCTTTTTGTGAGTTATGCATACTTACACATACTGCTTAATGCATGTTTAAAAATGTTTAATACTTGAAACCTCTTGTATTTTTGTTTGAAGTACTAGTGTCATATGTCATAGGTAATGGAACCAAGCATGGTGGCTCATGTCTGTAATCCCAGCACTTAGAAATCTTAAACAGGAGGATTGCTGTGAGTTCAAGGTTAACTTTGGTTATACAATGAGTTTCGGGCCAGCCAAAACAAATTAAAAAAAAAAAAAAAAAAAGCATCATACATGCATTTGTACCTTGTTTTCATTTATTTCGACTTGTCTTACCCATCAGAACTTACTGCCTTAACACATTCTTTTTCATGTCTATATATTCTCTTGTATGAATATACCAAAATTTACTCAATCCCTTATTTATGGACATTTACTTTGTTCTATGTCCTGGGCTATTTTTGAAGGACTGGTTTCTAGATATGGAAATGATAGATCAAAGAGTATAATTACAGAGTACCTTCTATAGAAAAGTTATGGTCACACTCCTCCCATTTGTTAATCTGACAGGTCCTCCTCCCCAAGATCTCAATTTTGAGTTTATTTAAGTGTGAAGGGTAGGTGTCATTTCATACCTTCAGTTGAGGGCTGTGTTCCTTCTCAGTAGCCTATTCATAGGCTGCATGTGTCATCGTCTCTATTGTTATCCTCTTCAACATCTTTTTATATATTTTTGTATATAACTCAGTATGCAAATTTTATATTTTCATATATGCTAATCAAATGTGCCTTTATAAACTGTCCACATATCAGTGACAATAAATGCTCCTTCAGTTACTCCATTTGTTTCTTGTTTTGTTGTTGGTGCTGAGGTCACTTAGGGCCTACAGCGTGCTCCACTGGTGCTCCACTGGTGCTCTCTACTACCCAGCACCACAGTCTGAGCTCTGAGTACTTTGCAGCCTAATTTCTCTATTTGATATTGTGTTTCTAGTCTTCCTTATAAACAACATGATTATATAAATATTACCTTTGAGTATGTTTATGTGTTCCTTGGAAATATTCTTGCAGATGAAAATGCCATTTTAAAGAGTATGAAAATTAGCTGGTCTTGGTGGTAGATACCTATAATTTGGTAGACGGAAGGGGGATCTGAAGTTCAAGGGTCATCCTCTATATGGCTAGCTTAAGGCTAGGTTGGGCTACACAAGACTCAAAAGAAACAAAAATAGGGACTGCAAGATGGCTCACTGAGTAAAACACTTGCTGCACAATCCTGGCAACCTGAATTCGATCCACAGAATCCACAGAACAGTGGAAGAGGATAACCCCACAAACTTGTCCTCTGACCACTATGAGCAGTGGCACAAATGTCCACACATACTCATACACACCACAAACACTAAAAAAGAATGAAAAGTAGCTGAACGAGGTGGTTCATGCCTGCAATTTCTGTGCTGGATGGTTGAGGTAGGACTGTCTAGAATTGAAGCCAACTTGGACTACACAGTAAATTCCAGCCTAGCCTTAACGGAAGAAAAATCTGAGAAGTTTTAAGGCTTTTGGTTCCCATTGTTTTGTTTCCCACTGTTAAACTGATCTTTTTCTCTTTCTTTTGCTAAGAATTAGGACCAGGGCCTCCTGTATGCTAGGCAAACTTGTCACTGAGCTACAGACTACCAGTTTTTGTTCTATTTTTAACTGTAGCCTTTAAGTTGTTAAGATTTTTCCAAGCTGGAGAGATGGCTCAGTGGTTAAGAATACTTGCTGTTCTTTCAGAGGACCTGAGTAAGCATTGCATGCACGTGGTGTACCTACATACATGTTGGCAAAACACTCATACAAATATAAAAATTTTAATTTTTAAAGATTTTTTTTTTAGGGGCTGGAGAGATGGTTCAGCAGTTAAGAGCACTGACTGTTCTTGCAGAGGACCCTGGTTCAATTCCCAGCACCCACATGGCAGCTAAAATCATCTCTAACTTCAGTTCCAGAGGACTCCAACGCCCTCTGCTGGCATTGCATGATACAGGTACATTTACATACATGCAGGCAATACACTCATAAGGTTTTTTAAAGAATTCTTCCACTATGTTTATTACATATACACCTGCATGCATGTGCGTGGGTACATTTACCATGGCACACATGGTAAATGCGTGTCAGAGGACAACCTACAGGAGTTTACTCTCTCCCTCTGGTATGGAACCTGGGGATTGAACTCAGGTCCTTGGGCTTTGTGGCAAGTGCCTTAACCCACTGAGTCATCTCAATGGCCCTTAAATTTTATTACACGTGTTTGGGTGTGCAAGTGCTATGGCACACTTGAGGACAGAGGACAACTTTGTGGAGTTGTTAGGTTGGTGGCCAGTATCTTTAACTGCCAAGCTACCTTGCCAGCCCTAACCAGTTTTTTATTTTGTGTATGAATATTTTGCCGGCATGTATATAAGTATACCTAATGTGTGTGCCTGGTTCCCAAGGAGGCCAGAAGAAGGTTGGTGGATCCCCTGGAAATGGAGTTAAGGATGGGCGTGGTCTGTTATGTGGGTACTGGGAACTGGACCTAGGTCCTCTGGAAGAGCAGTAAGTGCTCTTAACTGCTAAGCCATTTCTCCAATCCCTAACCTTAGCTTTTGAGAACACTTGGTGTGAGATGATTTTTTTTCTCTTCATTAGAAAACAGTATTACCCAAATTTAAATAGGTGGATAGGAGTTCTACCTCACACACCAGTATCAGTACATACACACTAGAAACATAATTCTAACACCTAAGACAATGCTGTTTCTTTGTTCACACTAGTCTCCTTTCCTATTCTGTTTCCACTTTTTTTCCAGGTCTACTTTTAACCTTTAAAGTTTTGTTTTGTTTTGTTTTGAGACAAGGTCTCCCTGTAGCCCAGTAGCCCCAGCTCAATCTCACAGAGATCTGCCTATGTCTCTCATGTACTGGGTTTGAAGGTGTGCACCACCAGACCTGATCTAATTCAGCTCTTTGACTCAAGTTTTCCTAAAAGTATTCAAATCTTCACTTTTGAAAGTTTGCCTGAATTGAGGATAGTTTCAGACATTGGGCTGGGATTGAGCAAAAGTGTGGCAGTTGTGTATTGAAGGGGAGGCCTCTTGAAGACAGTCTCGGTCACATGCTGTGTTCACTAGCTGTATAACTTGGAGCAGGAATCTTGCCTGAACATTTTCCTTCTCTGTATCTTGAGGATCAAGTGAGGTCATGAATATTGTAGAATGTCCACAACACCATATTTTGCACACAGTAAGCGCTGTAAACATCAACTGCTACAATACTGATTTGGACTTCTCCAAGGATACATGGAGAGAGGTACACCTGCCATACTTACCTGTCGTGGCTAGCCAGAGCTTTCCCCTATGGATATCACCTCAAAGCAGCTTTCTTTAGCACAGATCTTAGTTCTGCTCCAACCATCAGCATATTTAATGACCCCCCCCAATGGCCCCTGTGGAACTGTCCCCAGCCCACTCTGAGGTCCGCACACCATGGGCACAGACTCAATACAAGCATGTGAAGTGTGGATGGCCCCAGTTGCTTAGAATCTGAATCTTCACCTTGGGGAAGGCAGATGGAGGGTCATTCTAAGGAGACAAATGGTTCATGCCAACTACTGCTCTCCCAAGACTGTCTTCCCTGTCAGTGCTTACTGGCCCACTCACTGCCTTAGCACTCTCATCCCCAGGCAAACACACTTGTAGGTGGAAGGTTTGAATTTCAGATTTCTGCACATCAAAGGTGAATTTTCCCAAGAAAACTTCAGTCATATCAACCTGGAGGCCTTGGTGGGTGAAGAGTATATGGAGAAACATTAGGCACAGAGGGAGGGAAGAAAAAAAAAAACTGTTGAGAATCTTCGTGTTCAATTCCTCTATGTTCTGATGTTAAGTTGCTTAGTGTGGAATGTAGGCTCTAAGAAACCAAGTAAAGCCAGGTGTGGAGGCAGGTGCATCTCTGAGTTCAAGGTCAGCCTGGTTTGCATAGTTTCAGGCTAGTCTGGGGCACACAGCAAGACCCTGTCTCAAAAACCTGTGACTAGCCAGGATATCAGCACCAGAAAGGCTAAGATGGGAGGACTGTGAGCTTTGTTAGCCTGGGCTGCATAGAGAGACTGTCTTAACAGGTCATTGGAAAGTTGTACGTGGTTTGACCTTGAGCAGGGAATCTCTTCAGACCACTATGCTCCTTGGATGGGAGGAGACAACAGTACTTCACAGGTTATGTAGATGCCATGAAATAATGTGGGAGAAGTGCTGAGGGCGGAGTAGAGCTCAGTAAGCCATACTTAACTTTTGGATATGGTTATCAGGATCCTTTACAACCTATGGCAGGAGATGAGGCAGGTATAGTATGTACAGTTTATAGATGAACAAAGACTGAAATATTGTCTCATGTTCTCATGACTGCCTAGTGCTTCCTAAACAAAATCCCCACCTCCTTGGCCTCAGGCCCCACTCACAAAGACTGCAAAGTCCCTGGAGGCGCTGCTGGCTCCTCCTGTATGTGCCACGCTGGGAAGATGCTGCAGGGTGATGTCACCTAACTGTCCACTACCAGGCAGTCGGATCACGACCTAGCCCTGGTTGCCTTCAAAAGCCCAGCAATTTCCAGGGAACACATATGGCTGTGGAGTTTCGGGAGGAGTGGACCATCAGGATAGAAGACAGACAGCTACATTGAAAGACTGTCTTAAAGTTTTAAAAACTGCATGGACTGAGAGACTGCAGCTTGGCCCAGAGTTCCTCCTCCATTCCTGGTTCTTGCCTAGTCAGATTATTCTCAATGTGAGTCCCCAGCACTTCCAGGTCTCCTATTTAACCTCATCCATGGCTTGGCAGGAGCCTTACCTAGGCCATGTGAGATCCTGCCTCCAGAAGCGCACCTCCTAAAGCTAAACTCACCTCAGTTCTGGTCCTGCTTCCATTGAGCTGATTCTTGCCCCTACCCCAGCTCTCTCCTGCTACCATCCCCACGACCCTGTCTGGGCCCACCTCCAGTATGACTGAGGATGGGTGGGCATAGTTCCAAAAGCTCAAGTGATTCCAGAAGTGGGCAGTGTTGTGTCCTCATAGTCATGGGATGTCTTCTCTAGTTCGATGGAGGCTCTTGGAACCGGGAGAAGTCATTTTCAGGGGCTCCCAGGCCTTCCCAACCAATAGGTAGGTCTGCCTGTGACACTGACTCCCATTTCTTTCTGTGTCTCTTACCCACAGAGCTCAGGGCATAGTCGGGTTTCTGGAAGAAGTCCTCATTCAGTCTCTGAAACACGAGCTTGGCCACTCTCTGAAGAGGGAGAGAGAGGGCAGACTCAGAGGGTTGCGGCTGGTTTACAGATGGGCCTGGCTCTCAGGAACTCAGTGCCCAGGGATGGGCTTAATAGCTCCAAAGAGGTCCCTGCAGTGGCTGAGGCTATTTCAGGCCCTAAGATGCAGGATCTGCTTGGGGTGTCCCCCCACAGGCCCCTACACACCTGCACCAGAGCTCACCTCACTGTGGGCTGCACAGACACTGAACACCTCCTTGTGGAGTTTATTCAACTCAGCCTGCAGCTGCTGTCCCTGGGAGTGCACACACTGGTGGTACTGGCTGGAGGAAGGAGGATGGCTGTTGTGAGGTTGGCTCCCTGTCCCCCTGCACTCCTGCAGGGAGGCCTTCACCTTCCAGCTGCTGTTAACCACCCCAGCTGCCCTCTTCACCTTAAAGTAAGCATCTCCTCAGGTTTCTGTTGGGGAAAAAAGGGACAAATAAGTGCTCAGCTCCACACCCCACTTCAATGCCAGCCTGGAGTAGTTGGATTCAAGGAGCTTCCCATTTTGAAAATGGTACCCCCGCCCCCGTGCTTTCCCCAGTGCCTTGCTGGCCTCAGGATTGCAGCCTCTCAAGATATTCAGACACTTAAGTTCCACGGCAGCGATTCCTAAGGTTTAGCCTCCCGCGTTGTCCCCCTCCCAGTAGCCCAGGGGCTCCCAACTTCCACCCACCCCAGGGGCATTGTTTCCCCAATTCACATTATGCAAGGGAGGGACCAGGTACAGGAGCCCCCACCACAGTGCTAGACAAAGAGGAAGAGGTATGAGGGTAGTGTAAAGAGGGGGCAGGGAGGAAAACGGGGTGGACTTGCTGGGGGAAGGGGCGGTGGGAGGGAGACTGAGCAGGAAACCCTAGAGCGGCTGAGTGGTACAGGGAAGCAGGAGCTGGATTTGACCTCTGACCTGTATAGCTCTGGGAACCCCCCCAAATCGCCACCCCTCACCTGCCAGAAAGACACTCAGTAGCGACACAGCGGTGAACAGGAAGCGGACCGAGCAGACTTCCCTGGGGAACCGGGGTGGAGGCTGATGCCCGGAGGCTCCAATCAACCCCCAGCCTCGACCCCAGGGACCTAGACTCCGCTCCTGCGAACACGACTCCACAAGATCCGAATTAGCTCGGGCTTCACAAGGCCGGGCCCTGGTCCGCCCCTGTCCCTCCCTCCGACCTGTACACACTGACCAGCGCGTCTCCTGCCAGGGATAAAAGTACGCTCAGCACCTGGAAGAGGAGGCCTGGGGGCGGGAGAAGCGGCTCAGAGCGCGCCCGGGTGGGTGCTGCAGGTCCAGAAGGGGATACGAGGGGACAAGGACAAGGGCCTGGGATGCAGGGGGCGAGGGTAGGAGGGGGAACCGAGCCGAGGACACGTGGACCCGGGCTCGGGCAGGAGTACTGGCGTTCCGAGAGCCGAGATCAGCGGGCAGCGGGCGGCACACACGGACTGGAGCTCGGGTAGAACTAGGGTTCCGAGAGCCGAGCCGGAAGGTCGGCTCGAACCGGGGTCAGATGGGATGGAGGCTGGCCTGACCCGTACTCAGGAAGTTCTTAGACACACGCGGGGCAGGCACCTCTGGTCTCAGATCCAGGGTCGGGAGTAAGCTGAGCTGCTGCTACTCAGAGACTATGGGAGACCTAGCCGGTTCTGCGGGAGCCCAAGGGCTCCATTGAGGTGGTGTGCACCGCAGGCCCTCTCTTACCCCCGGGCTCGGGCGCAGGCTCCTGCCGGGCAGCCTCTCAAACAGGCTTGGTCATGCCGAACCCCCGACCGCTTAGCTCCCGGCGCACCCCCAGACCGAGGCGACAGAGGCTTGGTCCGGAGCGGAACCCGCCCCCGAGGGACGCCCCGCCCCGCCCCCACCGGAGTCGCGGAGCAGCCCCTCGTTGGGGTTGTCACTCCCGCCGCCGCCAAGGCGCCTCCTCCGCGGTGCCCAATCACAGCACTCGCCCTGTCCCCTCCCAGGACCGCCCATGGCACCAAGGCCCCGCTCCCAAGGGAACCCGAATTTAGCGAGCCCCCTCTAGGACCAGGGCGGAAGCTCATCCCAGCCCCAAGCTGGTGAGCCCGCCCGGCCCTCTCTCCCCGGGGTTCGACCCCGCCCGCACCCTAGGCCCCGCCCCTCACGGCTGCCGCGCCACAGGCGGTCTCCCCTCTGTGGCTCCAAGGCTTCCTGCCCACGTGTCTCCTCCGGGCACGCCTAGGCTCACGGCGGGCTCACCACCGCTCCAGCCCCGGGCCGGCCCGGAGGCCCGGCCACCGTGGCTTGTCTTCCGTAGTCACGCTGTGGGAACTACTGCTGTTCTCGCTGTAGAAGTTGAGTGTGTGCTTGTGAGAGGACGTGGTCCTCTTCCACCCACCCCAGCCCCGCATCCTGAGCTGGGGCTGCCCCTTATGGACGTCGAAGTGGCCGCCAAAGCCCTTGGCCCTCCCTCCGCTGCTGCGCGCCGTGGTGTCTGACCCCGCGTGAGCCCGCGGTTGGCGCGGCCAGCTCAGTCCTCGCGTCTGCCCCTAGGGCCGGCGTCACAGAGGAGTCGCGTCATAGAACCGGCCGTGACGTCACTGGGAGGCAGAGCAGGCCCTCATGTGTTTTGATCTTTTTGTTTATGGTTTCTCCTGTGAGTATGTGTGTGCGTGTCCGTGTGCACAGAGGTTGACGTCAGGCGTCTTTCTATATGTATGCTCTCCCCTTTGGTTTTGTGTCTGTGTGTGTGTACGTGTGTGTGCAGGTGCGCTCCAGGAGACCCGAGGTTGAATTTGGTTGATAGGTCCACTTTTTTTTTTTTTTTTTTTTTTTTTCTGCGACAGGTTCTCTATACAGCATGACTCGCTGTGTTGGCCAGGCTGGCCTCGGAATCACAGAGATCCCCCTGCTTCTGCTTCCCCAAGTGCAGCAATCAAAGGCTGTTGCCACCACATGCCCTGCACCTCAGTTTTTGAGACAGGCTCTCTCTTACCGAACCTGGGACTCAACGTTTGTCTTTCTGCTAGATTGGCTGGCTAGAGACCCCAGGGTTTTGCCTGTCTGCTCCCGCGACACTCAGGTTACATGCATGTGCCATGGCACCTTTCAGTTATGTGGGTTCTGGGCTTCTGAACTTAAGTCCACATGCTTGTGTAGCAAGCACTTTACACACTGAGCTGTCTCCTCAGCCCATCCACTTTATTTTTTGAGAGAAGCAAGGTCTTACAGATTTGGCTAGACTAACTAGCTGGCCAGCAAGTCCCAGGAATCCTCCTGTCTGTACCTCCCCAGAGCTGGGATTTCAGGCCTGTGTGTTCTGGCTGGTTTTTTTCTTGAATGCTCTGATCTACACTCAGGTGTTTGAACAGCAAGCACTTTACTGACAGTCTTTTCCTCTTGTTTATGGTTGTTTTTTTTT